TTTTTACTGATTTTTGAACGCCAATCTTGTGAATCAATAATAATAAGTATACCTACACGTTTTCTGTTCTAAAATCATAATAAAACCGTTAGTTATGGCTTCCCTTTCTACGTAAAAAACAATCGAAAGTGTTGATATTTGTTTTAATATTATACTAATAACACACATATTTTTTTTWWAAATAGTATAGTTTTTAATTGCTATGTGAGAAATAGCTTAAGAAATTTTTCTTAGGTTTTGTGTCCAATAAATAAATAATATAATGGATGAAGTGAGCAAATTAATTACCGAGTGGGGGTTCGAAAAATATATCCCAACTTTCGAGAGTAAGTTTATATTTTTCCGACTTTTGTGTTTTTGCATCTTTGTCTAAATGTGGTCCATTATTATTAAAGTATATTTTTAAATTTAGAAGAAGAGATAGATATGGAGGCATTAAAATCCCTAACAGAGAACAGTTTAAAAGAATTAATTCCCACTATCGGACCAAGAATAAAATTTTTAAATAAATTAAAAGTGTTTAAAACGGAATGTTTTATTCAAAACGATCCAATAACACCAGAGACGTTAACGCTTTCGTCAGTCTCTTCACCTATAGTAACGGAACATTGTTCACCCTCGGTAAAAATTACATAGATACTTGAACATTTTTACCTAATTTTAGCTTTCAGACATCTGAACCGGTTTTACTAATCGGTAACTTTGAGGGCACTGTTAATGAAACATGTACAGGTAACCGCTATTTTTTTGGTATAACTCAGCATTGTATTTTCAAAAAATTATTATAGTAAGCAAGGATACGCCTTCCTGTAGTACGACAGATGAAGCTTGTCTTATAACTGGGCAGGAATATTATAAGCAGGCCTGCTCTCGCTCTTTTGCGTTTTTAGGTGAAGAAAATTTAAATAGGGCTTGCAGGATGTCATATGACTTGGACTTGCAGCAATTTTTGAATGCGACAAATGCCGGCCGTTTTGTTTTAGAAACTTATTCGAAAACAAAAACATTGACAACAAAAACTAGGAACATGCTAGTGAATTTGATTATTAACAGCGCAATGGCTGAAGCTAGGAACGGGTGCGAAATATGGCTTAAGTGTTTATTAAAACACTACATAATTACAATTTTAGAAAATTAACTGCGGAGGATTTTGAAAATCTGTCTAACAAAATTTGTGATCTTTTTAAATGTGAACATACTGGAACGTATTACATTCCACGTTGTAGTGGAGCAGGGCCATCTAAAAAAAAACCTGTGAATGCGAAAGGGAAACTTGTGGATAAATATAGAAATTTAAAAAGACTGTACAATATTACCAAAGATTATAAAGAAAATTTGGAAACCGATAATGAGTTGTCTAATAATCCTGTTACGGGTAAGCAAAATCACATATTATACTCATATACACTTATCTAGGTATACATTTTATTTTTAATAAATTTTTAAGACGATATGGATGCCAGTGCCAAATGGTTAAAACATTGGAATGAACCTTTTGATACTGTATTATTGCACTGGGATAATTCATTTTATATGCGTCGTAATAGCACGGTAAAAACTGTTGATCAGTTTTTAAGCGAATGGCCAATTTTAAAACATCAAGTAGCTACCGTACTAGTATGTATTTTATTACAAGTGGGTAACCTAAAAATATATTTTCTAACCTAAAAATTTTAGATTGATACGGATTTTAAAAAAATGTTTCCTAATGCTGCAACCAAAATGTATTTAAAGTGGGAATTATTTTACAACAAACTGTTAGAATGTCCAAATATAAATAAGCCAGATGAAATTATAATGGCACAATTAAAAAATGAAAAATTATCAGAGGGTAAATTATATGTATTTATTTTATCATAAGTTTACTAAAACAATTTCTTTTTTAGATGGTAAGTGTGCCGTCCAAATTGCAGCTTTGCCCGTGTTGTTTCCTCCAAAAGGAAGATCAAGAGTTAAGAATAGTCACTGGAAGCCGAGCATATTGGAATGCCAAGAAAGTATTATTAATCATGTTAAGGTCAGTTTTATACATATATCATAACATACTTATCTAATGTATCAAAAAACATTTAGATGAATTTTGTAATAGAATGTTTGAAATGTATGTTTCAGATTTCTGGAGAAATAGAAAATTTTATCACCGAAAGAAGTCATCGCTTCAAGGCTCTCAGTAGAACTATCCAACCATATATGATTGTTGTGGGGCCAACAGTATCGGAAGTAACAGAGAGCTATCTGATTATCGACGCCTACATCTACAAAGCAAGTACAACCTTGCAATGTTTTGATTTATTATTTAAGACATTTCATGTACTGTGTGCGGAATACCCCCCTGAAGCAGAACATATTTATTTACTTATCCAAAAAGTAATTTTTGGGGTTTCAACACAATGGGACAAGCAAATACCTTACGTAATGACCCTCGCAAATAGCCTTTCTTTATAATTTTGTATGAACTTTTAAAAATATSTTTGATATAAAAATATGATCATTTGTCCTCTTTGCAGTTTTAAGACTTTAAAGCTCAATAATTTTACCTTGCATATTAAACTGAGGCATAAATATGTCGACAAATTTACTTGTAAACAAAATAGTAATTGTTTCCGGACCTTTCATACTATATTTTCTTTTAAAAAACATTTACGTCATAAACACCCAGAAGATTTAGAAACAACAACAAATGTAGTTACTGCTAGTTTTAATGTGCCACCTAATAACGACACTTCCATTRGGGGGACCAAAGATTCAAGTTTAGTGCCTCCCGATTTTGACTTTTCAGCACAAACTTTTGATTCTTTGTTAAGAGATTCAGTGATACATTTTGTTTCAAAACTTTATAGCGATTATTCTATAACTASAAATACAATACAAAATATTATAAAAGATGTTAATGAATTATATCTGTTACCCCTGCAATATTTGGAACGGTTAATTAATAGTGCCCAAGAAGAAAATAAATCAATGTTAAAAGATGTGGAGCGACAAATAATTTCATGTTTAAAATATCCTTTCAAAAATTTAGAAACCGAACATCTCCGTATTAAATATTTTCAAGATAACAATGCTTACATTCCTGTAGAAAAAGTTAAAATTGGTGAAAAGAGAAGCAGTGTTAGAAATAATAATAAGAGTATATTAGAATCAACAGAATGTCATGCATGTTACGTTTSAATAGAAAAAACTTTAAAAGCCTTTTTAGAGATTCCGGACGTATACGAAACAATTTATTCTTATAGTTTAGAATTACRTCAGAGTCAAACTAATATAATTTATAATCTTATACAAAGCGATTTATGGCTCCGAATTAAATCAAATTTTRAAAATAAACTAGTTTTTCCTATATTACTTTATTTCGACGATTTCGAAGTGGGGAACCCTTTAGGTTCACATGCTGGCGTACACAAAATTGGTGCAATATATTTTAGCTTAGCCTGTATACCTCCCGAATTTTCTTCGCGTTTGGAAAATATTTTTCTTGTTCAACTTAATTTTGCGGATGAACGAAAATCTTTTGGAAATTTTTCAACTTACAAATATTTAATACATGAATTAAAAAAACTTGAAACATTTGGCACAACTATAAATACAAACGATGGACCACTTCAGGTATATTTTTGTTTGACGTTAATATTAGGCGATAATTTGGGAGTACATTCTTTGCTAGGATTTAATGAAAGTTTTGTTTCTACACATTATTGCAGATTCTGTAGAATTGATAAAATTTCTAGTCAGCAACAGTGCATTGAAGATTCTAGTTTAAACAGAAATCGCGAAAATTACGACGTAGATCATACAAATTTTTCTTATGGAATCAAGGAATTTTGCATATGGAACGAACTTAAGTACTTTCATGTAGCTGACAATGTTGCTGTAGATGTTATGCATGATATTTATGAGGGGGTCTGTCGATATGATTTGGGTTATATATTGTATCATTTCATTTATATAGATAAGTTTTTTGACTTAGATACTTTAAACAGGCGGTTGTCATATTTTCATTTCGATATATCTGAAAATAAACCACCTGCTATATTAAAAAGTCAAATTATTAAGCAACATATTATAATGTCAGCATCAGAAATGAAAACCTTTACAAAATATTTATCTTTAATATTAGGAGATCTTGTACCTTATGACAACCAATTATGGCAAATTTATTTGCTTTTATTTAAAATTACTGAAATTGTTGAACAAAAAAGTGTTTCATTTGAGCATGGAAGATTGTTGCAGTCCTTAATTGAAGAACACCATTCTTTATACATTCAATTTATTGGTAATCTTAAACCAAAACATCACTTTTTGGTGCACTATCCACGTTTGTTAACTTATATAGGTCCCTTAAGTAATGTGTCGTCAATAAGATTTGAAGCAAAACATCGAAACTTTAAATCCACTGCAAATGTCGTTGCTTCCAGACGAAATACTCCGTACACTTTGGCCTTAAAAAATCAATTAGTAATTTGTCATCGTGTACTTGCGAAAAAAGGATTTGTAGACAATTTTGATTATGGTCCAACTGACACCGAAACGTTTAAGTTGTCTGAAAATTATGCAGCTTTTGAAAACCAATATGGAAAATCTGTTGSCGAAAACTCAGTTTTGACTTCATGGGTAAATAAGTGTAATGTGAAGTTTCACTCTGGTAATATGATAATTGTTAATTTTGATAATTTTATGCCTCAGTTTGCAAAAATTAAATTTATTCTTATACATGAGAATTCATTTTTTTTTATTTTACAAAAATATAACACTCTCTGCTATGATAGCCATTTTCATGCGTATCAGGTAGATAGAACTGAATTTATTTTTTTTATTCACTCTAATGCATTAATTAGTATGGACGTCCATATTCTGCATTTAAGTCCCAATGGGTCATATTTTATAGTTCTTTTTGAATAGTTAATCTATTTTTACGTTTTTGAAGTTTTTATTGTGTTCTTATTTTGTTCTTGCTTGTTTTGTTATATTTTTTGTTAAATGTATTAAAAATAAATTTTTTCAATAAATGTACTGCATTTTTATTTAATTTAACCTAAAACTATCAATAAACTATCAAAATATAAGTCCATTTAATTTAAAGGTTTTTATTTTTAATTCAAATCAACAACTTCTTTGCATTAATGTATTAAACTAATTCTTCCAAAAGTAAAAATAGTCGATTTAGGCATTTGATTAAATCATCTATAACTTTGAGGTAAGATAGTGTATGTTTGAGTTAATGTGCTATAAACTAACTCTTTGAATAATTTTACATTTTGGTGTGATATTTTTATTTATTGTTTTAAAAGACCACGGTTGTTTCATTCAAGGGATTCCAATGCATTGAAGGAACTATTTTAATTTTTGAAGAGACACAATTAAAGCAAAGAATTTTATCGTTTCCTTGAATGCAACGAAACTATTGCTCGTATTGAAAGTGTGTGATAGTTTCATTTAAAATGTTTTTTTTTTGACCCAACGATAAATTTCTCTGAGTGCAGATTGCAGTGCCTTTGTTTCCTTCTACAGTTGACAGTGTTGTCAACAAATACCTACCACTTAGATCAAACCATTCTGTTCCCATTTCAAATGAAAAGAAAAAAGCTCTATAGTAGAGAAAAATTTTATTGAAACCGGATGAATAATTTGCGTTGTATTTTTGATAAAACCTAAATGAAAATAAATTTCAGCTTGTGAAAAATTAAAAAATCCTCGCCGTCGAAATTCGACATTGTAAAATTGCAGCCGCTTTCAATATGCAAGTGTGCGCACACACACACGTCACAAAAGAAAAGTAAACACATGAATAACGAAAATGAATACACTCATGTCACACTAGTTGAAATTAATACCTCGCACCCAACATCCGCCATCTTGAAAGCTCTACGCAAAGAAAACAAACCACTTTTCCTCTGCCAAGTCATTTAATACCGACATTATCCTTCAACTGGAGTGAAAACATCGGCTTGGGATTTTTTACGTGCTATCGATCCGGATAAAAGCCAATAGATAATTGGTTTTATTACGTTGATGAGGGACAAATAGGTAACAATTATCTGTCAGAAACATCCGAGACCACAAAATCCTCTTTTTCACTTCGAAATGAGTAAACGTCAAAACTTTCAGAACGCGGGATTACTTGCAAAAATTTACGCGCCGACTTGACGTCACTCTCAAATCCCCTCGATTTTAAGCTAGAAGAACTATCCTGTGACACCTTCGACCCATTAAACACTGTCGGTGCGTTAACGGTAAACTTCAAATTTGAATTTCAAATGCGAAAAGTTTCACAACGTCGTTGTGATTAAAAGGTCATGCGACAGATTTGTCAACAAAAAAAATCGCAATTTAACTGAAAATTGCATGACCCTATGGAAGAACCTATTTGAATGAAGTATTTAATGTGATTAATTAATATGATTAGCTTTGTAGTGTTTTCCAAACATAACTTAGCAAAAAAACTTTCACCTTTAAACATTTTTGAATTATAGGTAGTTCCCAAATGTGAAAAATAAATGTTTTCTTCAGTTCCTGTATATATACAAAGTGACTTTTTAAAACGAGCCACCTTAGATAACTGAAAATAAGCAACAATTAGAAAATCCCGAGACAAATAAATTTTTATTTGTAGGGAAAAATCTTTCAGTGTACTTTTGAAAGTTGTAGCATCAACCCCCTTTGTAATACAAACAACCCCTTCAAAATTTTAAATGACACCACCCCCTTTTTGATACCTCAAATGAAAGGTACATATTTTGACCAGGCATTCGGCTGTGTGTTTTACAGTTTTGAGTATTTTCTATTTACGTTACGTTACGAAGATCTAGCAGAACAAATTACAGTAATAAAATGTCAAATATACAGTATGTCCCCGGATTGAGTATACAAGAGGATAAAAAATATTTTTGATTTTACGCCAAAACGGTAAATAAAAAATATTTTTTGCTTTACCTGAAACAAGCAAATCTGTAATTAAAACTTTGAAAGAAGAAGTTGAAAGAAAAGTTCATTTTTCTCTTGATTTTGGACATCACATTGGCAGTTTTATTATTTTGACAATGATATCACTTTGACAAATGAGTTAACGCAACTTAAATAACAAAAATGTTTGTGAAAAACATAAGATAAAAACCAAAGTTATTTTTAGCAAAAACTATCATTATTTAATTAATAAATTAATTGTCAAAGTGACATATAATTGTCAAATAAATAAAACCGCCAATGTGATAATACTTAAAAAGTAGAGAAAAATTATTCTAAGTTCAAAATCAAGAGAAAAATTAACTTTTCTTTTCACTGAATCAGAATAATAAAGTTTTAAGTACATATTTGCTCGTTTCAGGTGAAGCAAAAAATGTTTTTCCTTTGCAGTTTTGACGTAAAATCAAAGATTTTTTTTTCCTCTTGTAAACTCAATCCGGGGACATACTGTATATTAAATGATCTCTGTCTCGGGATTTTCTCATTTTTGTTTATTATCTGAGATATCTAGGGTGGCTCGTATTAAAATACTAGTGTTTAATGTATTTTATTTTAGCATAATACTAGTATAACCAAATTACTCATTCAAAATTTCATGACTCACATACTACTTATTAATATCACGCAAAATAACCTAGGATTGAGTAGCTAACTATGGCAAGATAAATATATAATTATCACAATAAAAATATAAAAATGAAAAATTTCTTCGTTCCCTTTAATTTTATTCATTCATAAAGCTAATTTCATAATAATTACAATGATGAGATTAGTGGAAATTACACTCATAAAAGAGAATTGATTCGTAGGTTATGTTGAATCATTTAATAAATCATTAAATGTTTAACCAGTGAGAAAACAAAAACATTTACCTTATCGCCACCGCGTTTAGAAGCCGCTATTTCAAATTCCGGCCACAATTTATCACGCAGTTTTGTAACTATTTATCGACTCCCGATTCATACATAAACCAAAGTTATATCATCTCTTCCCGTTAAAAAAATATTATCCAATCAAAAAACTATACGGTCGAATTGATTCATTTTTCAGAAACAAAAAGCGCTACTTAAAACAAATCCACATCCGAGAATAATTCACATTGTTTCGAAAGTTTTATTACAAACGAATGTAATTGTATACAAATGTTCTTTTGCTTTAGGCAAAGAATTTATTTGAAGTAGAGAAGCGGTTTCATTAAACAAACTCGTATAATTGGTTGCATATTTTCCAGGCTTAAAAGTTCAATTTTAATTGAAATCGCCAAGTTCGTGATTAAAATCGCAACGAAATCCCGTTGTCGTTGTCGGTTTTCACACCATCGAGCAACCAAAGTTCTCCGAGTTTGTTTGTTTGCATAGGGAGTTTTGTGGATTCGCCCTAAACTCGACGATGACACCGCGCGATTAAAAAATCGAATGACGTGGTGGAGAGCACCGATCGATGTGATAATTAAATAAAGCGAATTTTTCGTACCGGAAACAGCAACGGCTACTCGGCCGGCAACGGTAACGAAATCGACTTAATCACCATCATTAATAATTTCCCCAATGCAAGTGCAAACGAGTCAAAAAGCTACCGCATATATCGATTCGCCCCCAGACACGAAAACGTCCCGGAAACATCCATCTTTTGGCGTGAAAAATCGCTGATACGGCAAAAAAAACGCCGCCGGTTTGGAAACCACTCGCCCTGCGGCGACAAATTGTAAATATTGACTCGCGTATACAAAAAAGACGCTCGGAAAACCCTTGCCCCGTGTGGGAAATACAATAAGGGCCCCCGAGCGACACAATTGCATGCCTCATGCCTGAATTCAAATAAGGACTCACCTCAAGGATTTTTCGGTCGAGCTTTCGATTTTTCGATTTGATTTTTTAACGCCAACCACCCTCGGAGCAGCACGGTAGCCAACTTAATGCGATCAAATAGCACCGAAAACGTGAAATAACCAAAAAGCTGGTGCGCATAGTCGTGCCCGGAGTCGCAGTTTCCCGGTACACGAAGCGTTACGTTCCCGCCGTGTTCCGGACGGCTCCGGGTCGAGACGTGGCGGCCTCTCGCGTTTGAATTCATCCTATATTGATTTTCCCGCCCTTCGTTTCGTCTTTCTCTAGTAAATGAACCATAAATTATTATGCTCGGTACGGCCATAGCTGAAAAATCGACGAAAAATCAACGATTTCATAGAGTTTAAATCCGGAATTATTGCCGGAGACTGGAGTCGGAAGTTTCTATTCTAGAGAGAGAATTGTTCCGATCTGTAACTGGGTGTATTGTTGAGGTACGAAAACAAAGATGTGGAGCATTATCGGTTCGGAAACCGCAAATACCGGAAACGCGTTTCTGTTTTGTCTGAGCTTTTTCATTGCCCGGATGGGGAGATTAGAGCTACTTCGGACGTTAAAATGATAAAGTGGTCGAGATTTGATAATTAGGGCCGAGTTGTAAGAAAACCTAGAATTAGGTTGGCCTAAACCTAGCGTTAATAATGCAAAGAGTTAAACCGCAAACTCGACACCGGAGTTTGTAGCGATGCGTGAAAACATAAATTTTGACTTTCCAGCGCGTGAGGTTCTGTTTTATCGTCAAAATTAACTTCGACAGATGAAAATCGGAACGTCCGTTCACCTCTTGCATTCGGAGGTCACCAATTAAAAACACTTGACATCTGTTATACGTGTTGGGAATATTATCACTGAAAAAGGTATAAAATTCCATGTGCAATAAACAATTCTATTATTGCATCCGATACAAAAATATGTCTCTAGAAAAAAATTGAAAGCGTCGAGCGAAATTCCTCTGACCCACATTCTCGGGTCAAAGCAAAGCACAGGACGTCATTACTACTAATTACTCTCTAGTTTCGTAACTCAACGCATTCTTTTTCTCGGTCCCTCGAAAGTACAAACTCATTAAAAAACACGTAGAGTACAAAAGACATTGTTTTTTCTCTCCATTATGTTAATCGGAGACGATTATCAAATATTTTGTTAATCCCAAGAGAAAAAGAAGGACAAAATAATCGGATCGGAGAAGATTCAAGGTTGGTTCTGTCGGAACAAAAGAAAAATGACGTGAATTTAATTTAGACGCAGAGACACCCTAGAGTCGGCTTCATAGACTGCGAAAAAATCTTTAATCGGATTAGATGGAGTAAATTATGGAATATTACGAACCGAAATGAATATCCCAGCAATTTATCACAAATCATCAAGACGAAACTCTTAACGAACATTTTACGACGACAAACTTCAAGACACGTCCCTCAGATTTCAGAAATTGGGCCAAGCAGGGGCGGATTTAACTTAAGGGCCAAGAATGAAGAAAAACAATTTCAACCTCTCACAATACAAATCCCGCTACCCGATTCTGACTATTAATGTTAAAAAAAATCATATTCACATTCTTCAGCTTTTTGACTCAAAAACTTAGATCTTGTATAAACAACATTTTGAATCTGAAAAATTGTATACCTAATAACTGTAAAAATTAGTTTCTCCAACTCCAGTTGTGATAAATTACTTATGTCAAAATTTGAAAACCTTACATTTTACATTTATCAAATGTAAATTTATGAAAAACTAAAATATGTACCTACTTCTTGTGTGCACTTTAAAATACTTCTTGTGTGTGTCTTAATATTGCGCTTTTAATATAAACTAGTTACTATTGTACTTGTTTCCTCCGACAACACCCGGAAGGACTTGTTTCAATTGTATCAAAAAAATAAAAAGCGAATACATACAAATATAAAGACTCAAAATACGTTCCGTTATTGTGTTTATACAATACTAGCAAAGTAGCGAACTACAAATTAGTCTGTGATAACTCATGAGTTATCAGTAAGAAAAATTAAATAAAAAATCAGGAAAAATTCATTTCATTAAATCCTACAAATTAAAATTAAATTAAAACAAATACTGTTTTTTTTCCAACTCAATAAAAATATCCTTATTTGAATAATTTTTCGATCTACATTTATTATAGTGTAACTCTGGAACTGAGAATAAGTAAAAGTCGCTTTAAATTAGTATAGGTAGTCAAGGTAAAATCTCACAAAAAATCATATAATTACAAATTTAGTTACTTAATTACGGTAAACTAATTTGCCAAAAAAACTAGATAATTTTTGTGAGACAATTAAATTCACGCATCTGTCGTTTTACATGGTATTCGTATAAGAATATCCATTTTCTTGGACACAGATACAATAACAATAACTAATAATTTATCACTGATTCGCCAAACTTTATTAATAAAATTTTTATTATACCTAGAATGATTAGTAGTTATACTATATAGAACCATTTATTTATTTATTTATATAGGTATTTTCTTTCATTATTGAAATAGAGAAATTTTCAAAAAAAAAAAAACAATTTTTTTCAGTTTTAGTATATTTCCATACTAATTTTACAAATAATAAAAGGCGTGACAAGTGTCCATTTTGCAATTTTTTTTAATAAAATTTAAATACATACAGGTATGTATAGAATATATTTAGTTTAGTTTACAAATTTAGAGAATTTGGAACTTGATAACATGACAAATGCTTCATTCAACCTTGAGATTCGAAATTCCTGATCGTCATTAAGAAATGGAACAAAATAAAACATCAAACAAGATTAAAATAGATTATCGTTAACTTCCTTAGAAAAGCAAAAAATTGTCATTACTTAAAGCCCGATTACCATTTACACAGCTCAGCATACTGCGTCAAAATGCCGCATCCAACTTTCTTTGTTATTATCGTCATTATGTAATTGCCACAATCAAAATACTAATTACAAGTCCATTGGTTATGTAAAGTGACATTATTAATATATCGAACAGAATTTGGATACAACATTTGGCGCTGTACATGGAAATCAAACTTTGAGTATCTACCATCAGAAACTGAATTAATTTGTTTATGGAAAACTTGGATACCTCGAATACAATATGCAACAATCGACAGAGCTCAAAACATTACCGTTAAAACAATATTGTTTAATATCAAGAATTTAACTAAAACATAATACCCTTTTTCGCCTCCACCATTTTGTGAAAGTGGTCCAATTAAATATTTTACGATAGATTGATACCGATCTACAACCGAACAGACACTAGATTTTTCTCGGTCACAAAAATAAAAGAGAGATTATCCCAAACGACTCAAATAATGTCAGCTTTATATTGTTATGTTGTTCTTGCTATTTATAGTCTGTAAATATTTACACCTGGCATAAATTTACAAGCAATTATTATAGAGCTGCAGAACGATAAATTTCACTAAACTCCTCCTATAACATTTCTAATAATAAAAATATAATTAGTATTTTCTTTCACTACCGCTAATAATTATCGCCTGCCATTGTAACCTTGAAAAGGAGTGATTTCACAAAATTTCGAAATTTAATAAACCAATGAAAATTGTATAGCTAATAGATCCCATCGATTATAATAAAACACGTAGCACAAATGTTGATTTACAAAAGCACAAACTGAAATATTTCATCTCGAAATTGGAACAATTAAATCTGTTTGACCAAAAATGAATTGCTGTATTCTGTTCAAACAAATCACTTTTGCCCTTTGGGTTAATTATAATAATCAAAATCGACGTGTATTAACTTCATTATAATCATGCCCTTGAGTTGTCGCCGAGAAAGCACAGTTGTGAAATGCAATGCGACATTTGTTTTGCCGAATTTCAGGCGATCAATCGACCGATGGTTTAGAATACAATTACTCGAGAAAAGTCTCGTCCCTGTGCGTGATTTCGCAACAATGATGCTAGTCGTTTGTTCACAACTGGTTCACCTACTTAATGATCAAGTGAGAGTTGAAGTCCCCGCTATGCAACACCACCGACCGCAAAAATCAAACGTCCATCCTACCCCAATTATTGACGTACGGCCGTTCAGTAGACTGAAAGACGAAACCGTGCGTCGCTTTCAGTTCAACGTCTGAAATATGGCGTTAATATTGCGAAAATACCAAACGAGAGACGACTTCTCCGAATTAAATTTTAAAATCAATAGTTATTAAATTTTCATGAAAGGAGCTTGCTAAAGAGCCCCGGAAAATAAGCATGACTTTTATAGCTCAGTCGAGATAAAGGCCAATGGAAAAATTCACATTCGATGACCGTAATTAACGATCGCTTCCAACCCTTAAGAAACCCTCAACCATCATTTTTCATTGTGCTCTTAACAGCGTTAAATTGTCAAAATAAGAAAAAAATATATCCGCTATGAAAAGACTGCCACGTTTAATGGAAGCCTGTATCTGAAACGCTCAAGAATTCACTAAAAGCAGAATCAAATTTTTCGTAGAAACTCCTCAAAGACTAGTTTACTAATATGCCCTCATTATAAGTTTCATGGACACTTTTTAACTCCCTTTAGAAAACAAACAAAGCGACCATCTCTCGAAAATCAAGGTTACAATTATTACTTAACGGTCGTTCTCATCCCGTTAAATCACCTTGATTTGCCTTAAAATGCGAAAATCTCCCTGTCAATAAATTACCGGCAGCTTCTAGGCCATCAATTAAGAAACTTTTCGCCGGCATTATTGACCCAAATTTAAGGTTTCAAAAACTACAAGTACATTTCCTGGTGATGATGGAACGCAATCACTAACCTTCCAAAATCCACCAATTGTTTGTCGGCCTTTGCATTCCCTTGAGCCCTTTTCTTGACAAAGGTCAGTAAAAGAAAAGTGGACACGAGTTCAAGGACAGCGAAAGTGATTAGTGTAAACACAACCGAAAAAAACAGAGTTACTTTCACGTTAATTTCGATTCACCTTCCTTTAGAAACTTTTTTAAGGGTCCTCACTAAGGAATTACAAAAATTCCGTCTGTCTGTCTAAACGGATTAGGAAAGTTGGGAAAACAACAGGCAAACAAGTTAAAGGCCCCGGAAGGAAAAATTGACATCGATATTGAGGCTAGAAAAAAAACTTTCCTTTCGAACGAATTAATTAACGAGAGGGGCAAAAATTTGGTTTTTAATTCCCCACCAAAGAAGGGTGGTTTCTATTGCAAAAATAAAACCGGCGATGGAAGTACTTATAATGAGTTTGCAAAAGGAGAGGGGTTCAGAATAGTTGGACTGTCCAGTTCTTGTACACCAACATATGAAATTTAAGTGAAAGACATCGAAGGTGTTCAACCAGTGTTGTTTGTGAGTTCAGTTGTGCAGCGGACATGACCACGGCCACCATGGGGCCATTCGTTGCATTTGCTGTGATTATCGTCGTATCAGGTGAGTCAAAATTACAACTTTTTCAAAAGAAAAAAAATTCTCACCTCACCTATTCTTTCATTCATGGCTGCTATTGCCTCTCAGATAGAGACGTTTCCGTCCAATTGCTCAAGAAGTGAGTTACCTAGATTCTTGTCAGGTGCAATGTTGCACACAACAATTATGTACAATTATAAAACCGATGGCAGATGAAATCGCATCGCATTATTTACACCGCACACATATAAACATATTTACCTACTTTAAAAGTTCAGTTCAGAAGCGCCGAGGATTACTAACACACTTTCACTAGTTACACACCTAAACAATTGTAAAATATGATTATTTTTTCATTTGTCATCTCGCGGATTACATAATCCAGCATCGTTGCACGACCGGCAAAAAATCAAATTTCTGAAAGTTTCACACAGAGGTAAAAAAAACACCTTCAACAATCATCTATTATTTATCGCGCCTCTTGGGAAATTTTCATCCAGTTCTAAATTGAAATTGACATTTAGATGTGATCTAGAAGTTGAATGAAGTGTTGCCAATCCCCCAACAAATAAAATTGCAATTATCTCGGTGAGAATGTGAAAGCATAAAATACAGATGCATCAAAACCCTTTATTTAATTAATCGAGTTAGTGGAACATTACTTGATTCAGTGCAGAAAATTGCACGTTTACGACACGCCACTGGCGATCAATTAAAAACTCTTTAGCTGTCTCCAAGGCAGTCCTTGCATAACTCTTCCGAAATTATTATACAGATGAAGTGGGCGGAATTGAAGATGCCCAACAATCGCTATTATGTAACCAAGTTTTTTCTTCCCTCCAGGTGGCGTCGCCGGCGCTCCCTATTTGGGTAAATTCATCGGGAAACTTTCCGAATTACATCACGGCGTCTCCGGTGAAGTTTACGCGGTTGATGGCCGAACTTTATACCTGAAAGATTTCACTTATGATGGCCAAGGCCCAGGTAATATACTTTCTTCGAGTCAAAAATTTGAAAGTCGTCTGAAAAGTGAAAATCGCTGAGCCTCGAGCTTCTTTTTTACAGCGGCGTATTTCTACGCCAGCACGTCGAAGAACGCCAACAGCGCCGGATTCCGATTAAGGGACGAAAATGGAAGTCCTGAAGTGATCAGGAGGTACAGGAAGGAAGGAGTCACTCTCACGTTACCCGAGGGCAAGACCCTTAACAACATCAAGATTTTCTACGTGTGGTGCGAGGAATTTGAGGTAAGAAAACCTTGGAAAACTCCCCAAAAATTTTCATAATTATGGAACCATTTGCAATTTAAATATAATGCATATCTCATCTCACTCTTTTAATAAATGAGCCATAAAAATTTCATTTGCATAATAAAAACAGCCTTCGAAATTATGTCAAATGACAAAACGCACGATTCGATTAAATCACTGACAATGACACCGGGTCTGATCAAAAAATCAACATCGCTTGCAAAATTCCATTAATGAATCTTGTAGATTGCTAAATATTCAAATGAGTGTTAACGAAACCATGAATGGATACATCGTTTTGATAGTCTGTGATATTTTACAATAGATTTCGATAGATAAATCTACCGATTTCGCAAAACTTGGTCCATCTTCAGTCGCTGGTTACTGCCTTCTGCCAGCATCAAATATTCTGCAATTATGCAACGTCGTATGCAAATTTTCCATCATAACGAAGATATTTACGCCGCACTTTGACTCTCGGAATTCCGAATATTTCCTTTTCCGCGTACGAACATTAATAATGTCGCTGCCGGCATAAATAATCACATTAACATATTCGCATGCACCTGAATCCTATTATTGTAGTGCCAATTAAGATGATTATTTGAAAAAAGAAAAATTCCCGTCCCCTTTGAAATGTAAATAATGTAAAAGATTTGCATATAGACGAGACTGCGAACACCCACCCACCGCCAAACGAGTCCTTTTTAGGCAAAAGAAACTTGTTCGATTGCAGGTGAACTTCGGCGATGTTAAAATCCCTCGCAACTTCGACTACCCTAAGCCCCAGAAAATCGAGCCTTTGAAGGGAGTTCATGCCATTTCTTCGGACCCCATCGTCATCGTCGACGCCCAGACGTTGCTCGTGCCGAATTTGTCGTACGACGGAGAAGCACCAGGTAAGTTTACGATTTTTCCGATGACTGTAAATTACATTGACGTTGATAGTTGAGAGTACGTGACGGCGTCCTTTGAAATTCTTGTGCTTTTCACAAGATAAAAAAGGCCTGATTTATAGAGAACGGTTCTGACGGGGAAACATGTTAGGAAACAATTCCGACAGTCGAGTAAGGCAATCCGGAATTGGATTTGTAGCGTGCACAAATGCACTTTATTGGCTGGAAGCTTTTCGCGACGTCGATCCATAATAATTAAGAACGAAACAAAATCTTGGCTCCGAATCGTAAAGATGCGATTAAGTCAAGAAAAGATTTGCTGTCATTTCCAGAGAAACTGGGACTTACAAACGACTTGAAAGTCTCGGAATAAACAATTTTTTTCAAGCGAGATGCATTTTTTGCTGCAGTATGTAAATTCAGAAGGACTTCCACTGACATTTCCTACAAATTTTGCGATGAACTTCCGCGTAAAAGATCATCACGACCTCGAAACTATTTGCAAAAATTATTTCGTCTTTGCACAGTAAACAACGACACAAACGAAAGTAACACTTTTGTAAACGTACTACTGGGCCTTTTCCAGAGTTTTAATCGTTGCACCATTACCAGCATTTAAAACCACAAAATGCCGACTTTAAGTCCATGTTACGAGGTAAACAACCTCTCAAATTGCACCGGTTCCGAGCTCGAAAAACCTCAATATAATCCTCGAGAAATACTCGCAGACGGCGTTGACCATCCCTGGACCGCAATCTAAATAGTTTGGACCGAAAAGTTGCATGAAACTCTGCTTGCAGCAGAAAGTCCAACAAAAATTTCCAAAGAGGTTGTTTAAAATCTAATTATGAAATCCAAATACACGACATTTCCATCAACCGTCACTGTTAGCAACCTGATTATTTAGCCAGAATTCGCCTGAGCCAAATAAAACACTTCTTTTACAAAAGGAAGACAAATGTGGACCTTAAATACTGAAAATACAACGTTCGATTTAAAACACTTAATAAAAAAACATCACCCAAAAAAATATTATAATACCTTATTTAACTCCTTTACAGAGTTGACCTAATTAAAATAAATACTAATTAACAAAATTTTTCAAAACTACTTACTTTGTTATATTTACGTTTACTGGAATAAAATGCAAATACCTAATAATAAAAATTAAATTCAAATTAATAATAGCATATTATTAAATGAGCATATAAGGATGGTTATTATTATTCACAAAGAAAAGTTTAAAAAACAAACGAAACGTGAGTCTTCTAATCATCCGAACCGTTATATGCGAGTACTATTGACCATGGCTATTAAATATGTATTTTTAATTTCTGGCTTAATTTTTAGTATTAAAAAAGTTGAATCTAATTAATAAAAATGAAATATTGACAATAAAAAAGGCAAAAATCTAACCTTTTAAAATTAGGTGTGTCATCAATCATCAATCTCCGTTCATTATGCAGAATTGTCGATATTATTATTTAACACAAACAGAAAAAATATAATGAATAGAAACATGTTACTAATAGTAATAAGTAATAAGTAAATAAATTCACGGGATTGGTCAACCTATCCACTCACGTATGCATCAAGACTTTTCAATTTCACTGGCAACGTCACAAGTGCGTTTTAGAGCCAAATACTTTCCTATAAAGAAAAAGCCTTCTGAAAAATGACTGATTGGCAATAGAAAAGTCCCGAGTAATAAGTAGTTTATGATTTATTTATTTTTATTTATTTAACATTTCCTAAAAATTTTCTATGTTTTCCAAATTTTTTAATAATAAGCCTATTCCGAAAATCAAACTGCATTTCCAACTTTTGTTGCAGATGCGAAATTCTGGGTGGGGCGAGGCCCGAAGCCCTCCCCTCAGGGCATACGCGTCCCTGATGAGAACGGTAAAATGGAGCCCCTTCGTCGCTACGACCGCAAAACGGTAGTCCTCACCCTTCCTGGAGACTTGACTGTTTTCGATATCGGCCACTTTGGCATTTGGTGTGAAGCCTTCACTGTCGATTTCGGCCATGTGCAAATCCCTCAAAACGTCAACGTTCCCCCTTCGCTGAAAATGCTCGGAGTGAGCCCACAGGTACGGTAGAACAGCGAATGTTCGTGTAAAACAGACAAAACCAAAGTGTTCCAGCTGAAAGACTGGCCCTAATTTTTCCTTGCTTCTGCTGGTCGGGTGGTTCTGCTTCTGCTATTGTCCTTCCCCCTTGAAGAAACTAACCGTGTTTCTGGTTGTTACAGAAGCGACCCCGTAACTTTGACATCTCAAGAGAGGTGTCGAGGCCCCGAGTGCCGCTAGTGGGGGGACAATTAGAAGCGACCACCTTCCGACCACGACAATTTCAAAATTTCATCCAACGGCCGCAGCCGAATCAAAATTTCGGGCCTTTCGTGCAACAACAGCAGTTGTTGACGCCGCAACAGATTTACGCACAACAGCGAATCGATCAAAATGTACAAAATGTTTATCAACAGCCGCAGTTTAGACAGCCGGTGCCGTACACCCCGTTTAATTTGCAACAGAGACAGTACCAGGAACAGTTGGCGTACAATCAATTCCTTCAAAACAAACGGTTGCTCGAAGAACAACAGATCAAAGCCCAATTAAGTCGACAACACAACAGATTCGATTTGGCCGCCGGCGGTCAAAACGGTTACGTGCCATTCGGGTAAAGGCCACACGCGGACCATAAATTTTCGGGCGACCCTGTACAGCTTTATCTAACAATAATTTATTCTAATATTTATGTGACAATTTCAGTGATGGGCAGTATTATCTTAGGCTTGGTTCACATTTAATACCGGTTTATATACGTGATATTTCTGATTGATTGAAGAACCAACTGAACTTCTCGAGGCTATCTCTCTATAAATACTTGATCGGTCTCACCTGAATGCACTTTAACGTTTCACCTTGAAAATAGATTAAGGTTAGCATAAAATTATCATTTCGCACAACAATCTCAACATTTTTCCATGCAAGGCTAGTTAAAAGCGTCCATGCTTCGTGGGTGCCCCAATGACTTTTGACATACAAAAGAAAAATTGATATTTTTCATTTCAATTTAAAGGACATCAAAGAACATTCAGGTGTTAACACAAAACTCGTTTTTAACATATTTTATTAAGTTCAACGCTTTATTCGAATTTCGTGCGGAATAATTGATTTTTGAAAAATTAGGTCGCCCTTGCCCCTAGCTGATTCAATAACAAATTGAAACTTCATCATGAAATCATTTTACTGAAATTATTATTAGGGCTTTACGAAATTAAAATTTAATTGAAACTAATGACCCAGCATGAAATTCGCGCCGAGGCCAGTCTCTCTCAGCTGTAATACATTTTCATACATGTGTTTTTATCGTACTCTATATTTATATTTTTATATTTTATACAAATAAAGGCTTTTTGTACAAACGTCCATAAGGCGCATCATTGAATCTTCCCGATCCCTCTTGCACCAGGTGCAGACAGAGCCATAAATGTCGCATATAATTCAGCAAAATTAATCTGTTTCAGTCGAAGCTGAACTGCGAAGTTTTGTACGATGACCTGGCATTTGAGGTGCGATGGGCGGTCGCCGGAGACAGCATTGTTTTGCAACTAGTTGCTAAATTAGGTGAGTTAACGTGGGCGTATATCGAAACTCTTGTGCCCTGGAAATGTATACTCTACTCGCGACGTCGCAAAATTTTCGCGTAAAAGTGAAAGCTGCTATCTTGCATTTCCTGCATCGGCGGAAAATTTTCATTACGAGATAAAAAAGTGGACACAGCGACGCCGGCCCTGAACTGACAAAGACTGGACCAATTATGACCGTCAGTGGATGCTAATTTCTGCACGACCTCTCCTATCAGACTCGAACACGCATCAAAAGTTAATTGGGTTAGAACTAACAATAGTTTTACAAATTAATTTATTTATGAGATGGAGACCGATCGATCTCCATTCACCGGCCCTGACCAACCACTATATGCACTAGATGTCAATTACCTGAGTCATAATATTAAAGTTCACGGAAAAAAGATTTTTTTCGTCGATAAAATGCAACGAAATTTGCATTTTCGTGCGATTTATCGTGATGGAAAAAATTACTACAAAGGAGTTGCGTCATTACGTGCCTCTCGACGGTCTATTGACCCGAACTAAATTAGATGTACAAAAATTGAGCAATTTAAGTAATTAAAAAGCAATCGAATCGAAGTTTTTAATTAAGCGTCGCAGTATTTTCTGGTTCGCTTAAAAATTTGGCCGTTAAATTTTATAAACAAGATTTAAAACAACCTAATTTCGTAGTTTAAGCCCCCTTTTATTTAATTCAAATCGTTCCTTAACAACCCAATCAATTTAATCGCGTTCGAATGGCTCATTATTTTTCAATTTTGCATGAAGTTAAGATTTTTCGTCTTAGTATCGACGGTAAATTAACCAAACGAGAAACATCACGCACAAACATTATTGCTTTTTTTTATTCGTTACGTTTTACGGCTTTTTCATATCTCTATCATCCTTTTCGAAAAATTTTATGATTTATGGAAGCACGATTCTTACATAACAAAGGACATCCGACCTTTCGCAAAAATCTCTTGTCCCTGACTGCCCACTCGCCAAGTTTAACGACCGGAGAGAAAGTCCATTTCACTTTTACCAGACCCACAATTAAAAAAATCTTTTGCAGACGATAGAGAATACATGTCTTTTGGAATCTCCGGCGATGATTCCCGAAGCGAAATGATCGGCGGAGATGTCGTCGTGGCTTGGGTCGACAAAGAAACCTCGAAAGGATTTGCTGAAGATTACCACCTGGCCGCCAAATCGCAGTGTTCCGGACCCACTGGATCTTGTCCGGATAACCGGTTGCAAGAAAACACTAACAATGTCCGGTTACTCAACGCTGCAATGGTCAATGGTTACTCCATAGTGACCTACCAAAGACCCCTCAAACCCTCGGATGAGTACGACAGACAGATCCACACGAACCGATCGCAAGCCATAATTTGGGCTATTGGTCCTCTTAATCAAAGAAACGAGGTGTCTTTCCACAGCCACTACACCAAAGGTGATCAGTTCCTGGATTTCGGACGCCCGGCTAAATGGAACTGTCCCATGCCGGAAGGCGAGCAACCATCCATGAAATCCACGACTACAGCACCTTCGAGATCACGTAATGCGGAAAAAAGACGTGGAAGTACTAACAACAGGAAGGAAGTCGCTGATAACGAAAGAAGTGCTTCCCGAACAAGACCAACTGAACGTCGACGAGGAAATACCAAACCTGTTCCAACTCCGGCTCCAGTCGCAAAAAGAGACGCTTGGGAGATTCCACCAATCAAATGTTACGAACCGGAAGATGGAGTTTTCTATGCACAGATGGGCCCCACTGGGGGCAAAAGGGGATACCCCGCGATTACGGGTCATGTCGGTTGGGGTATTTCGTGGTACATTAACGGACTTTTAATCCCGGAAATCAATGTCGTACGAGGGAAAACGTATACTTTCGTCGTGGAAGGAGGTTTCGACTCTGAGGTTGCGGCCAAATATCACCCCTTCTACATAACCGATGATCCTGTAGGAGGTTACGAGTACAAAACCCCTGAAGAGAAGAAAAATGTCAGGATTTTCGCCGGTGCTGTAGCCGCAAAAGATGGAAGTGTTAAACCGACTGGAACTGGAAGACTTTGTCACTGGACTCAGCAAGGGGACTTGGAAGCTGATGATTTTGAATCATTTGGGGCCTATCAAAGAACGCTCGAATTGAAATGTGACCAAGGCGAGCCTGGAGTTATCCAGTGGACTCCCGATAAAGACACTCCAGATACAGTCTATTATCAGGTAATTTATTTATGAAAAAAACGATTGTTTCTAAATTTTGTGTGATTTCAGTGTTTCACTCATCGTTATTTGGGGTGGAAGATAAACGTACATGATAAATGCGACGAGCAACCTGCAGCTAGTGAACCCGAAGCTGCCATAGCTCCTGCACCGGCCGACCTTGAACAAAGCCCCTCAATCCGGACCGAATCAATGGTAAAACCAAATGCATTAATTGTTGAAGATACAGAAGATAAGAGTAATACAACAGTTTCAGAAATAACCACCGTCTCTTCCGTAACAAATGATCCCATCTTGATCCAAACTCCCATCTACATGACGCCCGTGTTTTCCACATTTACTCCCTATTTATTCGATACTCCCGTCTTCTACACTCCATATCAACAAACTTTCAAACCTAGCCCTCTTTTAGAACCTATTGGGGAGGATTTCAGGCTTAAATCTATATCTTCAGAAGCACCAAAAGAAACTACTCTTCCGCTTTCCACTTCCACTTTTACTACAACTCGAGCTACTCCTACAATCAGTGAAAAAATCATTGTTGCCACCACTTCTGACATTAAGCCAAAAAACCAAAGTTTTCTTGTTCCTCCTAAGTTGGTATTTCAAAATAATTTTTTAATGCGCAAACCGGCAAGACCAAAACGACCGTATTATCCGATCGTACGTGTCAAAAAACCGATTTATAGACCACAAATTATGACACTTCAAAGGCCACCCCCTTTGATAGATCCACTTCGGTTCTCAGAATCGCAAATCAGGTATCGGCGACCGACATTCATACTTGCAAAACCAAAACCCGTATTTGTGTCAACACCACCAAGTGTTACAGTCAAAAACGTCGAAATTTCACCTCAACAAGCCTCAACTGACAAAGAACCACAAACCACTTCGTCACCACTCGAAACAATCAAACCGGCCGAAGAAAATTACACTAACCGTCTAAAACCGGCATTAAACACCGGCTTTCGGCCCGAATCAGTGGTAATTGAAGGCGGCTTCAAGCCAATCATCACCAAAACAATCCAAAAACGAATCGATGAACCTGAACTTGATTACGACAGCGAAATTGGAGTCATAAAACGCGAAAAACCGCGCCAATCGCCACAACACTTTGAACCAGTGTTTGTTCCATCGCCCCTCGACAAAGTCAAACTTAAACGACCCTACGTAAAGAAAGTTATCGTCAAACACTCGCGAAGTATTCATGATGAAGAACCGGTCGCTGAAGCTGCTGAAAGAGTCGAGTCTTACTATTTGCCACCTCTTGGGAAACCACCCCAAATTAGCGAAAGTCGTCAACCGTCAAATATAGATCTTGAAGAGCCGTCAAAAATAGATCTGGGGTCGCCACCGGACGTGGTTGTGACGTACGACGGTAAGAGAGTTTCCGGTGCAAGTCTAACGGCGAAAATCGCCGACCGATCCAGTATTCTAGACATGAGGGCGTCTAAAGCCGCGGAACTTATCAAAGCTCGACCGCAATTTGTACCTTTCAAAGGTGAATTACCACCTCTTAATCCCGCAGTTATCAACAAAAACGCTCCGCAGTTACAATCACGAGGGCTAATCAACAGAGATTTAGATACGCCGCCGCGTGGTTCTACCAAACTGAGCCCGATTAGACATCAAAGAGGGGTGTAAGCCGCTTATTTTCGTGGTTATCTAATACATTTTTTTTTTATTTTAAATGATTGTTAAATAGTTTAGTAAGTTCTTGTCTCGTTATTGTGTGTAAATAAAAACAATTTGTAGTTGTTTCATGTGATTATATATTTTTATACACTAAACACTTATTAATACAAGTGCATTTTTATTTTATTACTGTTTCAAAATTATGGCAATGAATCAATCAAATCAAATTTAAAAAAATTTACAACACACCACCTAATTAACGTCAAAGAAAGAAAACAAAACAACATTGAACCTAATCTTTTTCGGTGGCATTTCCATTTTCTTTAGGAGCAGAACGGCTGCGAGATCTAGACCTGGATCTAGAGTTCTTATCGCCACTTCGCGACCTGCTTCTGCTTCTTTTTCCAGACCCAGAACGTGATCTAGAACGGTTTCGTGATCTGCTGCGTGATCTAGAATTACTTCTGGAACGACTCCTGCGATCACGTGAACGACTTCTCGAACGACTGCGTGACCTGTCAACACAAAACAGATCCCAACGTGAAAACACCTGCTGTCAAACAAACTCATCCAAACAAAACCCCGTTATAATAAAACAAACATAAAAAAAGTTAATATTTTTTACGATCAAGAGGGTTCTGTTTAAATGATTCAGGTATGAGACTACTCCAACTACGAGTAAGTACGAAACTGGTTAAATTATTGTACAGAATCGTTGCCATGAGCACAATTTGAAAAAATAAAATACTAACCTGAAAAACGTAAAAAGGTTAATTTTAATTCGCGCCTTTTTATGTCCTGCTTGAGTCACGACTGCAGTTAAAAAATCGAAAACTACGACCAAAACAAAGAATTCCAACAAAAAATATTTACAATTTCCTGACTCTGTCACTACCAAAAAGAACAATTTTTCCGGAATATACAGAAATTTCTTTTTTTCAAAAAATTGTTAATAAACTGTGTAGACAAATAGAATCGAATCAAATGTTAAAGAGAGATATTTAGATGTAAGTTTTTACCATTGTCTGTGAGCTCGTGAGACGTGAAGTTAACATTGTAGGTAGAGGTAGAGTAAATCAACTAGGTAGGGCTACACCCGAAAGAGCTGGTAACTCACTGGCTCACTAGCAGTCTCGTATGTATAATGCAGTCGTGTGCAGACAGAGTGAGCGATGTACTACGTGGCAGCTCTACGCAGTAGTCAGCGGGAGAGGCATACAACGAGACGAGAATGAACTCAACGCTTTACCTTACTATCGGCCACAGACTATACCTATAAACATGGCATCACTGTCAGCCAATCACACCGCTATGCGGCTCGCTTTTATACGCCCATTACTGCACAACTGGACCGCCAAAACCACCAATTAAAAACAAAAATAACAGAAACAAAAGCCGATAAAATCACGATCCAATTGTACAGCAAATTGATTCAAAAATAAATGTAACAATAAAAGAAAACACAAAATTCAATTAAACTGACTTAACGACTAACGGACTGCGACTCTCAAAGACAAATAACACACCTGTGCCTTCCACCACGTCTATATCTATTACAGTCTCTTGCATAGTGCCCTCTGTCTCCACATTCATAACAACGGTCATCAGGATGAAAAGGCCTTCCACGAGATCTAGGCGGGGGGCCTCTATAACGCCCGCTTCCACTCTTTCCGTTTGACATCTCCACACGAGCCCTACGGCCGCAAATGGTACGACCATCTGCAAAAAAAGTATCTTAATAGACTCTTTTCTCACACTCAAATTAAGTTGTGCGAACTGGTCATAGATAATTTGGCAAACTTGCTAACCAAAATTACAAAATGATTAAAACTCAAATAGCGCAAATGTATTAACATCAATAAATTATAAACAAATATAGTAAAAGGTAAAATCGATAAGAACGGGCTATGCATTCCCCGTATTTACAACATGGAGGACGCCTACACGCCCATTTAAATTAAACGCTCGTTTACGAATTTTGTAACGAAATTACATACCCAGCCCCCTTATTGCATCTTCGGCATCCCTGGCGTCCTCAAATTCGACAAAAGCAAACCCTGGCGGATTCCTTGCAACCCAGACGTTTCTCAAAGGTCCATAATATCTAAATGCGTCCTCTAATTCTTGCTTAGAAGCGCTATTTCCCAAATCACCAACGTAAACTTTACAATCGGAGCCGTACCGTGACATTTCCACAACTGGAAGAAAATCAAAATGAACTTTATTGATCGCCAAGGACGCGCCCGGTGTTTGTTTACATCCACAACAAATCAATCTCATAACCACAAATACGTACCCTCAACTTTACTTCCACCACTACGGTAACACTAGCACTTTAATTACTCAAGGCAAGACGATAATTATCACTTTTATTATGGAGTTTTTGATTATTTCTTTGAGATTTTCAATGTGAGCAACATGGAGCCGCCGCCGCAAACATTTTTTTCCTCGAAGAAATTATCCACCAATAGAAACGCGAGAATTTGTTGATCAACAGCGCTACCAACATAAGCAAAAATGGCGCAAAATTTGAAATCAGAAAGTCATTAGAGATATCTTTTGTGGATACTCGAAAAAAACAGCCGTTATCTCGCGACCTTACTTATATAAAAGGGGACTTTTCAAGCATGTAATAATTTAATCTCCGCTCTGTTCGTGCGATAAAGCAATTTGACCTCTACTTAACAGCAATTATTATTTTTGATTGAAGTTATTAGAGATTGGAAAAAGCCTTTAGCATTATTATAACTAGCGTAAGTCTTTTCGCAATTTTCGATTCTATCACAATTTTAATAATTATATCAATTAAATACATAATACAAGGTGTTTGTGTTAAATCATGTTTAAACCATTTCACACATTAATTATAATAAATTTAGGTTTAAGGTTAAGTAGGTGAGTGTGAGGACGTTGTTTTGACCTTAACCATATAATATTTACGGTCATTTATATATTTTTTTTCCATTCAGAACCATGGCAGTTAACTATACAACCCTACCTATTGAAAAGAAGTCCCTAGATAGGCCCCCGCTAGAAGAATTAGCGAAAGGTTTGATATGCACCCTTAACACCCCCAATAATCTTAATTTCGTGTTCCACAGTTTTAAGTAGAGGACTCCTAAGCAATTTTGAGCATGTCACCGTCGAAGTTGTCGACTGCCCTGACCTGACGCAACAACCTTTCACTTTAGCCAAAAAAGGTGGTCTTAAAATCTGTAAAACCTTTTTTTTTAATTAAATAAAAATTTCAGGACTTGGAGGAAGTCCAAAACTGGTCGAAATCGGGGGAGTCCCATATTTGCTCCCTGTCGTAAAGCGGGAAAAAGTATACGATTTGAAAAAAATTGCGACAATGATTGACTCAGATCCGGCTTTTATAATTGGGGCTGCAGCCGGTCCTCACCCTTACGCAGGGGTCAATTGCGAAGTATTTGACTCATTTTTTAGAAAGAAGTTTATTATTTCCGGCTTTTAGGGTATTTTTAACATGAATATAACAAAGGGGGTGGTGGATCAACAAACGCGCATTTCTAAAGTTAATCCCTCAAATGAGGAAGTGCCTATACAGGAAATTCTCCCCAACAACGAAACCAGAGTTGCCCTCTTAGCCAATCTTTTTTTTAGCAGCGGCCAACCGGGAAAAGTAATCACAATTATATTTATTCACAAAAAAATGAACTTCGGTTTTAGGTGCTTAAAATTCACGCCAAAAAACGGACCGGTCCCCGTGATTTCATTGCAAGTATTAGACAAACGCTGGTCAATGAATACAAGAATAAAGTCGTCGGTTTGTTTCAAATAAAAGACGTTATTCAAATTCTTATAGCATGTTTCAGGCATGGGTGGTGTGTTTTTATTAAAAGAAGGAAAGGCCAAACAGCACGTAATGCGTGACTTTTCGAAAACTCCAATTAACACGGACGAGGAGTTAAATAATTGGCTCAAATTTTACAACATGAGTGCCCCTTTAGTAGCAGTGGGGACCCTCATAAACAATGACCACGGTCTCGATTTGAGGGTCCAACATTTTCATAGTTTTAGCCACCACGGGGAAGCTGGACATTATCACATTGATGTGACTCCAGAAACGGTGGAATATTTGGGGTACTTCAATACCGGTGAAGAGATCTACCGCGTCGATAGGCCTGTTGAAACTCACCAATTTGGCAGAGATTAAATTTGTTATCTATACATTTTTAAATGAATTAAAAGCTTCCTTTCAAACACCCTAAGTACTTGAAAAACAAATTAACAATTGTTATTTGATGGCAAATAAGATAATTTCGTACTTGACGTCAGCTCTTATCCCACATAACCGCTTTTCGAGTATTGAACACTCAGTGACGAGACAGGCGCATGAGGCGCATTCTTTATCTAACCTTTAAAAATCCTTATTCCAATTAAGTCAAATAAAGTACGATATGGGGGGCACCTTTTTGTATTTCGCTTATGGGAGCAATCTCCTAACAAAGAGAATCCACATCAATAACCCCAGTGCAGTCAGAGTAGGAATAGGAAAACTAATGGTAAGTGCCAAAAGCATGATGAAAAATTTTAATTGTTTTCGTACCCAGAACTATCAACTTGACTTTCTTACATATTCTCAAAGATGGCATGGAGCTTCTGCTACAATTGTTAAAAACCAGAAGCGACATGTCTGGGGGGCTATCTGGGAAATTGATTTAAAGCATATGGAGTCACTTGATAGGTAAATACTTAGAAAATAATTCGTGAAAATCCGTAAATTTGATTGTTTTGTAGACAAGAAGGCGTTCCTGATAAAATATACTATGCTCTTGATGTAGATGTTCTTGTGCCCGAAGGAGGCACCAAGAAATGTCGTGTTTATCAGCAATGCGTGATCCCGTCATCTACTGAAGATATTGAAAAACTAGCCGAAGACAGAAAGCCATCAGCTGTTTATTTAAATATAATTAAAGCTGGGGCTAAAGAATCAAACTTACCTGAAGAATATCAGAAATTTTTACACAAGATTCCTGATAACGGCTATGACGGCGAAGTTGATATCGGGATAAAACTCTAACAAACACTGCCTTATTATTGGATAAATAACACAAAATTAAAAAGTTTATAAGGAGTTTCAACACAGGTTCAAAAAGGCAAACATTAGTTGGTGACTTTTACGTTTTTACGTTGGTGTTTCGGATACAACATTTTCTCAAAATACTACCAATATTTGTATATAACAATGCAAATAAATACAATTTTTGTATTCAAACTTTGTAATTATTACATACCTTATTTATTTTCGGAATATTATCCAAATTTAATATTATTTGATAAGGATAGGTTGGTATCACTGGTTGGTAAAAAAGGTGACGTGTGCCGGCCCAAAATGAAATTATCAATTTTCCTACTTTTCGCTGCATTTTCTTGCGTAAAATCTCAAGGGAGTACTTTAGTCCTACTAGACAACCAAGTAATTCGTGAAACACACTCAATTTTTTTCAAGTCTTTGCAAGGTAAGGTGCAAAAACTATGAGGTTATAACAACCGGCAAGTACGGTGTTTTTGCAGAAAGGGGCTATAATTTAAGTTTCAAAATCGCCGATGATGCCTCTCTAGTACTATCAAAATACGGCGAGTACCTTTACGAAAATTTGATAATTTTTGCACCGGCAGTTGAAGAGTTTGGGGGCACCCTCAATGTTGAAACCATCACGCAGTTTATTGATGACGGTGGCAATGTTTTAGTAGCTGGCAATAGTGGAACTGGGGATGTTTTACGCGAATTAGCTTCCGAATGTGGATTTGAAGTATTTTTTTTTTTTTATAAATGCAGGTTCTAGAGAGATCTCATTTTTTTTGTACAGGTGGATGAAGAAGGGGCTTACGTTATTGACCATTTAAATTACGACGTAAATGATGAAGGTCAACACACGCGTCTCGCTATTTCGCCCGAAAATCTGATTGATTCCCCTATCATAGTTGGGTCCAAAAAAGACGCCAAACCATTGCTTTATCAAGGAACCGGTATTTTGGCCGACCCTGATAACCCCCTCGTTCTCCCATTACTGACAGCTGATAGTACCGCTTATAGTTACGTACCTGACCAGCCAATTAAAGAGGTTCCTTACTGTTAGTTATTTATTATTATGTATTAATTAAAAAACAAACTTGTAGTACCCTCACGCCGTTGGAAAAGACACCGTTTTGATTGCTGGATTGCAGGCACGTAACAACGCCCGAGTCGTCTTCAGCGGTTCGCTTTCATTCTTCTCCGATGAATTTTTTACATCACCAGTTGAAAAATCAAGAGTAACATTTTTCGTGACTATTTTTTCCTATAAAAGTAACTTTTTTGTTTAGGGTGGACTTAAATCCGATGTCGCGGGTAACAAGGAAGTGGCAATCGCCATCAGTCAGTGGGTCTTCAAGGAACATGGCCAGCTACGCGTGCGCTCTGTCAAACACAACAAAGTCGGTGAAACTAAACCACCATCCGCGTATACCATCATGGACGATGTCGTATATAAAATCGAAATTGATATTAAAAAAAATGGCCAATGGGAACAATTCAACGCCGATGATATCCAATTAGAATTCGTCCGAATCGACCCATTCGTCCGCATAAACTTGCAGAAAAAGGGCAAAGAATATGAAGCACGATTTAAAATACCAGACGTGTATGGAGTTTACCAATTCAAAGTCGATTATGACCGAGTCGGGTATACTCGCATTTACAACACAACTCAAGTTTCCGTACGACCACTCCAACACACTCAATATGAAAGATTCATTTCTTGTGCTTATCCCTACTATGCCGGCGCATTTTCAATGATGGCCGGTGTTTTCTTATTTTCAATTGTTTTCTTACACATAAAAGATGATGACGTTAAGAAATCCAAAGGTGATTAAATGTGTCTTTTTACTTAAATAAAATTATAATACAATTAACTTTTTTCTACTTTGAAAAACCCAGACGTATTTGAGAAATATTTCGCGCTCGAATCGTTGACTTTCACTTCAGCCGCTTGTGGATTCACAATTTCGAGTCCTTGGAGTGGCGTGAAAGCGACACTTGAAGCCGTACCGGAAATCTGTTTTTTGACAGTAGTGCTTCCGCCCCAAACGTTCTGTTTTTGTAGATTCTTTTGGAGGGTTTTTGATATTCTGACTTTAGTTTTTTCGTCAACTTGGGGTAGTCTGATACGGCCGGTTCCTGCTTTGCCGATGGTTCCCCTGGTATACCCAAGGTCCTCCTGATACGCATCATCTTCAATCTACAAAACGAAAATAATAAACAAATTTAAAAAAAAAAAAGGAAAAACGTTATTACATCAGCGAAATTCATCCTATTGGCATGTTTCCTAAACTCGGTCATAGCATATCTCTCTTTCATTTTCCTGACCCTCTTCCCACCCCTTTTCTTCTTTGATTGGTCAATAGGCTTCGGTAAAGGTTTGATAAACTTAACAGGAGGTGGTTCCAACAACTTGTCCAATTTTCGCTCAATTTCGTCACGTAATTGCCGTCCAATACGTCCATCTTTACTCTCATGACATGAATCCACACGTGCCGCTAGCGTGCACTTGGTAGCAACCAGTCTTGCAGCTTTCCTCCTCAAATCTGGTGGAGTATGTTGCACGATGTCTGCATAATAAATGAAGCCAGTGTGAGGCAACATATTCACTTGTGAAAATCCCGACAGCGCCTTTTTCTGTTGGCCCAACAACTGCACGTTACAAGCCGGAATTTTGGATAGTCGAGTCAAGCCACCGGCAACACCCATGAGTTTAGCAGCGATCGAAGCCCCCAGAATTGCTGATAAATTGGGAGCGATAAAAGCCATGCGGCTTTCAACATATTCGTAAATTTTCAGTTTGAAGTTGTTCAAGTCTATAGCCATGTCGCAAGCTTCGTCGATTTGTTTTTTCTCAAAGTCTGATAGCATAATTCTAGAAAAATAAACTTAATAAAGTTTAATCAAAAATTCGTTTACTTTACCCTTGTGTTGTGGATGCGGTGACTGACACAACCATAATAGTTGCTTGGGTCAGGAATTGTTGCAAAGTTTCATTGTTTTTAGCTTGGTCTAAGTCATTACCAAGCTCTTTGACGGTCTTAAGGTATTCCAATGGACCAACAACAAGGGAATCCAATTCAGGGAACCTCTTTTGGTACTTGTCGCGCACAAATTTGTGAACGGTGGCTTTAATAAAACAAATATGTATTCAGCTATAACTCAAATTGTAATTCTTACCAATTTCCGCGTCTATATCTGCAGCTATGTTATTAGCTTCAACGATTAGTTGATACTCAGGATCCAATTCTACTGGTCCTATAATGTCGTGAAATTTTCGATTTTTCTTTACATGCTCCTCGATCTGCTTCAATATCTCGTGTAAATCAGGCGAGTCCCGTAATTTACACAATTCTCGAACTGAAGTTATTTGTGTTGTGTCTACTTCCAACTGAATATCCTTAACATCGGGTTTTTCTTCTTTGATATCCGGCTTTTCATCAACTTCCATCGCCTCTTCCAAATCATCTTGATCATTTTCTTCCAAATCAGCCAATAATTCGTCGGCCAAAGACATTTTCGCGAGTTAATAACAATCACAAATATCAAAACGTTGGAATAACAAAACTTTGAGGTTAAAAAACTGTCAATTGACATCTAACGTTAGACCACTGGTTAGACCACTGGTTAGACCACTTGCAATGGACTCGTGCATTGCTAATTGCCTATAGCAGTGCCTATAGTTTTAAAATTAATTTTATTAATAAATATAAACTTTTTTTATTACATACTAACACTTTCCAGTCATTTCAGTATTTGAGCAAAAACTAAAAAAAACTTGTTCCACCTTAAAATAAATATTAAAAAAAATAGATATAAAACTCTAACAAAAAAAATAAATTAGGTATAAATGAAAAGAATAAATAAACCAAATAACACTGCAATGAACAATTTGTTTCAAAATATAACTTCTGTATGAGGTTCCTTTCGTTAAAAACAACTCAGCTATTTAATAAAACACACAAAAAAAACATAATAAAATAATAATGATATTAATAATAATAAAATAATAGTTATTTTTTATACAAGACGATAAAGAAATTGTTTATCTACAAGTGAAAAGGTTAAATTTACGAGTGACGAAGTCACGAGTGGACTTTTTCCACGAGTAGATAAACAATCTTTATCGTCGTGTTTAATATTTCGCTTTATTTTGTACTCACCTACTAGAATTTCTTATAATGCTAATTTCTTATAATGGCTAATGAATACACTGGTCAAAGTGGAGTAGATAAAAATTACTTTATTTCACTAGACAATAAAGACTACTTTATCTACTGAAATTAGTTTATAAAAGCGCTCTTTAACATTGAGTACAAAATAAAAAAAATAAACATTTTCTTTCTATCTGAACAATTTATAAAATTCCTTTGAATAAAACAGACACTAAAGGTAAAAACTATTGAGTGGGCGTAAAGATATCCATAAATTATGTTTATCTAATAAATATTAAATTAATTAGAAGAATGTGAATTTAAATAATATTGGCTGCAGCTGATTACGAAATAATACACAGCAATCACGACTTAATATTAATTTAAGCTATTTTGAAGGACACTGTTATAGTTATATTATGTGGATAGTTCTGCAAAATGTAAAAAAATTCCAAACTATGAAAAAGCAGTAAAACTTTCCAAACCATACAAAAAAATTAAAACATAAGAATTTTGTGCTTTTTAGTTGTCAACAACGGAAATTTTGAAAACAACATTGTTACCTGCAACCCAAAATAGCGACAAACAATGGATGTTTATGGAACGATTTGAAAAATTCAAATTTTGTAAAGAGATAAATATCGAGAATAACCGTTGCAAAAAAAAGCTGTCAAATTTTATATTTCCTCCTAATTGATTAAATAGTTGAGATTTCGTTGCTATTACTACCTATAACAAGTGACGAGATGTCCATGTTTTCAAATCAATTTTGAGAAATGTTAACATATGCACAAACTTTTGGAGCTTTTGGAGATAAGTATGACTCTTCTCGAAAAATTATACAGTGGATCTCCTCTATAACGAGTTTTGTATACTACTCTATGTAAAATTCTTCCTCTATAGCGAGTATTTTTCTGGAATTGAGGTGGATATACCAAAACCATTTTGTCCAAGATGGATAATAGCGAGAAATTCTGAGAAATTTCAGAAACAGATCGGTTATAAAGAAGTTCCTAGAAGAAATAAAAATCCTGCGAATATCCATTATGTATTGTGTACCAGAATTTTTATGAAAATGTTGTTTTTGCGCGCTAATGGTCTTATTTTTCTCACTTTCTTAGTCTTGAATAACTTTTCAAGCAGAGAACACTTCATCTTTCTGCATCAATATGTCGTCCTCGAAATGAAAACGTTTTCTATTAAAGAAAAAATATCAATAATAACAGAGTTCGAAAGTGGTAAAAAACAAGCTGTAATCTGCAAAGAGAAAAATTTAGCCAATTCTACATTAACAACAATTTTAAATAACAGGGACAAGATTACGGGTTAAACTGGTGAATTTTCGTCAAAAGTGATAAAGTACATACTGCTAAAAATGTTGAATTAGATAAAGTCGTTCTTAAATGGTTCAAAGTGAATCGCGAATCCAATGTGCCCATAAGTGGGGTCAAGTTAAAAGAAAAAGCTGAAAAATTTGCAGAAAAAATTGGGGATCCTCTAGAGATGAATTTTTTTGTTATTGGGTGCTTCCACCTAACCACGATGTTTTTTACAATAGCCTTGTACAATTGGAAAGTGCAATTGATAAGACAAAAATGATTCATTACAAAAAACAAACAAAAATCACAGATTTTTTTCTTAAATATTGTTTCAAACTTCTTTAATAATAAAATAAATTGCATAGTACATGTTTAAAAACTTTTATTATCCATGAATGTTTATAACGAAAATCGGTTATAAGAGCAAATACGTTGGCCCCTTGAGTTCTCGTTATAGAGGGGTTCTACTGTATTTTGAAAATTCTCATCACAAAACGTCGACACAGAATGCGAATTCACCGGAAAGAAGTTCGTTTTCCCAAGAACTTAAAAATTAACTAAAGATTTAGCTAGAGGGGACAGGCTAACGGGAAATAGAAATATGTTTAATTTTGTGGGAAGTGTTTCACGAAAACCACAGTTTTTGTTAATAAAATAGAACATTTCGAATCGGTATTTAATGTAAGATAACAAAATTTAAAAAATATTCGATATTCCTAGTTCTGTAGGTATTTATAGAAATAATAAAATAATTGCTGCTGGGAAAACTATGTCATGTCATAGTCATAAGTAATAGTTTTTGAAATACCGCTTAGAATGCAAATATGTAAAATGAATAATAAAAAGCCTGACTGCACTATTACAATACGCGTAAAAGATTAAATGTGGTATTTCCGGTCCCGAAGGTGTAAAACATTTCAAATAAGCTCGAGTATGAATTAAACCCGCTCTGTAGTTTTAATGAATGAAAACGAACAAAACCGGAAATCCAAACCGCGGACGGGACGTAGAAAAAACCGTCACTCCTTATTAAAAGATTTCTCATTTCGATCCGTCGCGAAATTTAATGACCGAACCCATTGTTGAAAAATCGATCGAAGATAGCCCCAAGACAGGTGGGAGTGTAACGAGTGGCTCGTGTTCACCTGTCCCAAAATTTGGAGCGCGAAGGGGAAAGTACAACAATACCAACAGGTGTTTTGTGTTTTTCCCCGCTCTCAATTGTAATTAATAACAGAGGCGGAATAGTTAAAGGTCACGATACCGAGCACACCCTTCGTATTTTTCCATCAAAACACCGTTAAATCGAGTGAGAAAATCTCGGCTCCTCGCCGCCCATGCCATGGAACAATCATGATAGACCACCTTTTTTCACATAAGGTGTAGAGATTGTAAAAACAGGTACTACTCGCCTGTGACCACTGCAAGAAATCCGAACGAGACTGCGCACCAAAAGTGGCCGGTCTTTCTTCAGCACCACATGTGTGGATCAGTTTCGGTCTAAAACACCTGAACAATTCAAAAAAAATGCGAGTGTAAATCGGGAAAAATGGCGAGTTTTCGGGATTTGCAAATGGACTGGGCGACGCTCTGCCAAGATTGCACCGAGTGTTGGACCTCTGAAGGTAAGTCATATTTTGCAATTTGGGCCAAATCGCGAAGGCAAACAACCCGAGTTGTGCAAGAATGTAAACAAACTGTTTCATTGTCACCGTCACCTCGAGAATGTTGATTTTTCCGACAAATCGCTTTGGGCATGCATGGACTCTATGGATTCCAGTTTTAACATTTGCTTAACGGTAAACCGCGTGTCAAGTTTATCCGAAGTTATTTAACAATTCGATTGGGAAATCGCGTTGCCGTTACATTAGCACTTCGGACGATCCTTATCGTAAATTAGCTAACTTTCGACATCCTACAAATGGCACCATTTACCCACGATTCGAAAAAGTTACCAAAAGTTTTGCACCGCAGGCTCCGAGGGAAAAAATCAAACAACTTTCGGTCGTGTTTTGATCGGTTTGAACACTTTCTAGCCATGACATTTTTTTACTATATAACCGGAAAGTATACAGCATAAAAATATCACTACTAATCAGATATTTGACATTCATGTTTTTTATTTTTGATTTAGAAGATTTTTTAATAATACTACTCTTGATAAACCTCTTCTAAGGGCTATTGTTCTTAAATAAATATCAAAAAAAGTTATTGAAAAATGTAATTTTTGTAGACTTTGCTTGCTAATATTTTCAATTCTTGTTCCTCCTGAAAACTGTAAGCCTGTGTCATTTAAAAATATCACTTTTCTTCTCTCTACTTTAAATTAAATACTTGCCTGCTACTAATTTTTATTTTCTTTTATTCTAACAAAGAACTATCATTTTAAATGTGATGAAAAAATAAAGTAAAAGGTTTACCTTAAATAAGGTGATTTATGATGTTCGAACCTCCAACGTGTCTCTTTGAATAATTTTTTGATATCCAACTACTTTCTCAAAATCTGAGATAAAACCTCTCCTGGCTTTAATTGCTGTTAAAATAATGACAACATTTTAGACACTAGTTATTCTTTTAAAAAAAATGGAACTGATAGCCTAGATAATTTAATAATTTTATATTATTTACACGAAATACAAATGTAAATTATTAATTTCCTTTTGTTTTGATATCACTTTTAGTGTAACTGTGTAATTTTTTCTTATATACGGGATGATAAAGTTTCATGATAAAAATTAAAATCCATTAGTTCCTCCGAAACCACTTGAGTTATTTTCATAAAATTTTTCAGAGTCCACTCTGTGAGCCATTGAAAGCGCTTATTTCTTTTATTTTTACTCTTATCAGTGGCATACGTACAGACACCTCTCTGGATATTTTTATTTTTTATTAGGTACTTTATTAGTATTATTTTTCTATGTAGAAAATGCGGTTGTAGTTTTTCGCAATGTTAAGAAAACACACTCTATATGTATTTAGACAAAAAATTTCATAAATGCAATGCAGGAATGGGTATGCGACAATTTTAATTTCGTCCTTTCCCGTTTTCTGTGTACGTAATTTTTTTTATCTTCATGTTACGATTCCATTTGTTCCAATCACCGCCTCCTTAATAAAATGTATCAATATCCCGCCTGGGCATTTCGTAAAAAATGCATTGGAGCAGTGATTCCAATTTTTTCTTAGTTACGGGGGTTACTAAGGAAAAACTGAATGATTTTTAATTATTAACGCAAAATAACGCAATTAATAAATGCTGGGAAGGAAGGATACAACAAAACTAGATACGCCAGGGAGAATTGATATTATGAGATTGAACCCTTTACGCTAAAAAACTGGATTTGTCAAAAATTTTCCGCAGATTAAAGCGCCAACGGGAATCACTTGAACTCAAAAAATGCCCAGGCGAGAAAAGGATTATTTCTATGGAGACGGCGATGGTTCCAATAAATAATTTATCAGGGGATTCCTCGAAGCGCGTTCTTTGATACTGACCTAGATGCTTCATTATGAAATTACTAATCAGTTTTGACTTCCTTCATCAGAAAAAGCCTCGTCTCAATCAGCCGTAAAACAACATCTTAAGTGCCCTTTCAAAGTGCATTTTTGTGCACACTGACCTAGGAACCCCATTCTCCACTTATTCCAATCCTTTTACTATTTTCTTCGTCTGATGGACGTTACACAAGAGCCGATCTGCTTAACCAAATACCTGACATTTCCAATTATGTAACGTTGTAATAAATTTCTGGAATGCTAAGCGTGAGTTAACAAAATGTGTTGCGATTTTTAACAAGAGGTCAAAGTCGACAGTTGCTCAAAATTTCAACGGAAGAGAGAAATGGCATTGTCTTGAGGATAACGAAGGTCGATGGCCTCTTTTACATTATCATGAAATTATCACTTTGAAGAGACTTCATTTGCTCTCGGGGATTGGTATTATGATACACTTCGGAACTAGAGTAGAAAATTCTGCAATTACTACTTGCATAAGCGTGTTATGAGAGCCAAAAATCAACTGACTCTTCATTAAATGCTAAAATGAGTAAACATTGGTGACTTCATCCTTTAACAAGTCGAGTCGCTCTTTGCATGATAATAATTTACTCACAACTAAAAATAAAACTCCATAAACTCACTTTTTTCGTACCAATTTCCCTAAAACTGGGCGGTTTCGTTCTGATTTTCTATCGTTAATAACGTCGTCAAAGCTGACCCATCTCATGCTGTGCCCATGGAGCATGAAGCGTGTAAACGCGATATTTTATACCATCAACAAACACAAACACATGTCTAATTAAAATGGCAAAAACGTGTCTAGCGCGAGACAATTTCTAGTCGAAAAACTCCTAATTGGCACCGATCTTTCAACATCATTACAAATAATGACTAGCAAATATTGAAAAAATTGAGCAACCCTTTCGAAGGAGCGGAGGACTTTCACGCCGTTTTTGAGATAAAATATGGCTGCAATTTTCCATATAAGATGGTAATTTGCTACATTAATTCAAATCCTGTATGCACACAAAAATTTGAGAACGATTAATAATAATTATGATAATGCACTTTCTAGACCTGGATATTTTAATAAGGGGTAATAGGAACTGTTGAGTGATTAGGAAAGCCCAAAACAGCGCTTCTTAGCACGTCTTATGCAAGTAATTTAGTCCATTGTATTTCCGTGACTTACGCCACGCAAATGTATGCATTTCGGGCTATTTCAATTGAAAAAATGTGAGAATTTATTACATTTCTATACTTATTGGAATTATGCATATTTTTATTGTTTGATTGTTGGTCTATTCGGAGAAAATAAAAGGGAAAATTTCAATCAATAGACAATAATAAAATTGTGGTATCCCTCAAGGTTCTCACCAGCGACCACTCTTGTTCTAGAGATGATTGATTAGACGAATTGTCAGCGTGGGCACTAACGCATATGCTGAAAGTGAAATTGTTCGTGATGGCAGATAACGTTTCATTAAAGTGTAATCACGACTAAGGCAAAAAGGTCAATATTAATTTCGCATTGTGTCCAGAAAAATCTGTTTGCATTTATCTTCTTATCGATGGGTGTATACCAGGTCTAACATTTTAAGTGCTGTTCACTTTCTCCGCCTTCACCCCTGATGGGTGTGAACCACTTCTGCGCGAATGGCACTAGACTTCCTCACGGCAGGTAGCGAAATGTCACTGCGAGTGGGTACTTTCAGATTTTGTCTAATTTGGACCTCCCGCTAGAAAATCGTGATAAACGGAGCTTGAAAGCTGGTTATTATTATTCAAAAGACTTGAAAAATTATGGGAATTACTCGATTTCCAATCAGTAATATGGCAAAAGTGATTTTGAAACACTTATGGAAATTTTCATATTCTTTGTCCTTTGGACCTGTTAATTATTTAGAGTTGTAAAGGTTGTCACACGGAAAATATTTACACTTAAAAAATAACAACGTTAAAATAAGCAAACCTTGATTTCGCTACAAATGTAGTCATCATTAGCTTTGGAAGAGAGCTTCTCGTTTTACTATAAAATTTTTATTTTTCTTTATTACATTTTGAAACTATAAATTCATTTTTCATAGTTGCCTTGAGCATTATTACACAATTTAATTAAGACTGTTTAGTTTAGCTTATTTTTGTCATTTTATTTACTTTTAATCTTATGTAATATTCATCTATAAATGTCCAATTAAGTAATTAATTAAACTTGCTTTTCCTTTTCTTTTTTTAGGAAACTGTAATATCTGACTCTTGTTATAAATACATACATTTCCCCAAATATTGGTTATATTAAGTACTCAATTAATTGTAATATTTTGAAATACACTACTTTAAAATTCACTCCTATTAAGTATTAGTAATTATAAGCTCAAATTCTGACGTCAAGAAGATAATATTAAGTAATCGCATCGATTAATGCAAGTTTTTTTGAGTGATTATAAAAATACCAAGTCGAAGAACATATACAGGTGTCCCACGTAAGACGTACGGGTCTAATATCTCTGTTATTTGCCTTTTTTTATAAAATTGAAAATGTAGGCAACTCAAGATAAAAAAATAATTTTAACACATACCCATTTTCTCAATTCAAAATTAAACGAAACTATTATTTTATTTTTAAGCACTAAAAAATAGAGCACTACACAAAAAAATTAACTAAGTCACTCTCGTCTGTATCTGCAGAAATACGTTGATTATGTTGCTAGAGAATGAAAGAATTTTATCAAAGTTAACTCTAAAAGAATAGTTTACTACTATTAAGTACTATTTTGTACAACCCTGAAAAACTTGTAAAATAAGTTAGAACACATTTAGAACTTTTAGAACCACTGATGCCAATAGTGGTCCCTTGGAGCATTTTTTGTTGTATTGAACTGGTTAGTCCAATTAATGCAATTCCTAAATTTAAGAGAAAAACTATACGTCACATATTAATGTCATTGTCGCTCGACAGCCAAGGGTGAATAAAATTCGGTAATATCATTCTTTTTTTGGCAGCCCCTCATGTTTTTGAATCTTCACCCACTTTTAACACAATTTCATTCTTTTTTCTTGTAAGCGAGACCACTTTCGAGGACAGATTTTTGCTTATGGCATTTTTTTATTGGTGATTATCATTTGA